GTCTTAAGTCGTAGAAAATTAACCAATCACAATCGAATATGAAAAGAATAATCGACTATGATTGGTTAATTTTCTATGACTTAAGACTCTACGACCGCTACGACTTCTATTGTAGACCCCGCATAACCAATAAACCACAAACTATTGCGGGGTCTACAATAGAAGTCTTAGCAGTTGTAAAGTCTTAAGTCGTAGAAAATTGACCAATCACAATCGAATATGAGAAGAATAATCAATTGTGATTGGTCAATTTTCTACAAGTAAATCGACCAATCACAATCAAAATTAAGATCTCGCGTTTCAAAACACTCGACTGTGATTGGCCGATTTGCTTACGGCCTTACGACTAAAATTTTTGTACGTGTGATGGCCTTAAGAAGGAATTGGATATACTGGATTGGGTACTTTGCTCGAAACAACTCGAGATTATTCTTCGCACAGCGAAGGACGAAAAAACGAGATACGCCATATTGTGTATAACCGTCAATCCGCGAGATTTGATATCGCGGTAAACGCGAAATATTTAAAAATTCAAATTAATATTAAAGTAAAATGATATATTTGATATATTTATCTACAAATTCAAACTAAATAAATACGATTACTAATGCCAATCTGATTGTATACGTAAGATTGTATTAATGTCCAAAATTCTTTTAAGAAAGAAGGGATAGTTCGATTCCAACAATTCTTTATATTGAAAGACGCAAAATGCAAAAATATAATACGTACACACTTGTATACAATATATAAAAGGATTGTCCCATTTTAAAAAGCAAACCCAGATAATTTCAAAGAATTTTATAAAAGAATTTTTATTTTCTTAAATAAAACCATGATTTTTCTTACATATAATTCTTCACTAATCATCTTTTCAAAATTATTTAGGTACTTGTAAAACGGGACACCCTGTATATTGGACAAACAGTAAAGTTATTAGATATCGTAAATGTATAAAACTTGCATATATAACTTGCATCTTGTGAAAAAGCATAGTATATATGTAGATGATTTATTTACGTAAATAAATTGATATTCGGAGAAAAAGAATTAGGTTCCATAAAATGTTCGCTACAACTGTTAGTTTTAATTGCTCTTTTCTTCTTTATTTTACAAGTATTCATTTTAATCCCACGTTTTCACCCGAAGCTCCGGTTCGAGAATCGACCAATTCGGTGAATGTTTTTCACTAGATAGCCAATTGAAGTCGTCGATGCAGTTCCAATTATTAATCTTTGGATCAAGGCCGGCTAGATTAAAGTGACTCGTTTGATCTTCGTAAGACCAGTTGTAAGGTGCTACACGTATCTTCGTACAATCCTCTATGATCGCCCTACTTGTGACATGTAAATAAATGGTACAGTCCGTCGATGAATGTAATCGCAGCTGCTGACATGCGAAAGCAAATACACAATCACTGCAGTCGTGCACGTAAACGGAGGATGTCACCGGTCCGACTAATATAGTGCATTGCTTCAGATTCACCATATGCAGAGTGCTCGGTGTACCGTATATCCTTACAGTACAGCGAATCAGATCGGAAAGTAGAATGTCATTCTTATTTACATTCTCGGCGTCCAACACTATACGTTCGTTCACCTTGCCCAGGAGCATGCAGGCACTATCTCCGTACTTGCTCGATAATTTATTGTTCTGCTTAGTCGAGCCATTCACAATGCTCTCAGATATCTTGAGATCTTTCAAACCGTCTGTGATATCGAGCCCCTTGTCGGAAGGCTTCTTCACGATTCTACGATTCTTAAAGCCAAACTTCTTTTTAGGCAAGAGCTTCATCTCTAACTCGGAAGCTTGATTCTCTAACGATTGCAAATTTTCTTGTGCGCGTCTTATGTCGTAAACCTTTAGAAACATTTTAGATTGCGATAAATAGTTCTTAAGCAGTTGAATCTCCTTGTTTGACTTCTCAAAGATTCCCGGCAACGCTGAGGACGGCGTGTTGGGTGCATCGTCTAGCATATCCTTGATCTTCTTGCAAGAGGAGTAAAATGTATCTTTAAAGTAGCTGCTTTGCTCGGATTCGACGGCGAGCGATTGCCGTTCTTCTCTTCGCCTTTCGATAACATTTTTTCGCTCCCGGTCTCTCTTCGTGATACGATCTGGTAAACTTTCCTCTATAAACTCTGTGGGATCCATTTTAGTTAATGCTATTTCTCAATACGGTTTGCACTGTCTTGAGCTTCAAACACCTTCAAACTTGCGTTTGACTTTTCTTGGTTCATCAATCTCTCACTTTTTTTCTTATATTGTGGCCAGAAAAGATTATGTTTTTCTGACGAATGCGGAGGAAGATGCTGAAACAATTTAAACACAAATAAAAAAAGATTTATACCATCATTTTATTAGATTCCTAAGTAAAAATGTAACTTTTGCAAAAAGTTTTATAAAATTACTTTAATTATAATGTTCAGCAAATATTATTGACTATTTTTTTTATTAAAAAATATATTATACAACTGAGGAAAAAAACATTGCCGCTTGTACTCATATAAAAGCAATGAAAAAACATTATTATTGGCTTGATAATTACATAATTATAATTACCTTTATAAGATCTTTTTCATCGGGCCTAACAAGGTTAACTAGAAAGTTTCCTACTCCAGTGCCAATAATTACCGCTGCTACGGCACTCCCGATAAATTTCAACGCCATGAAGATTTAATGCTCATTGCACTTCTCTGTCCAGGTCTTGTAATCAAATGTCCTCAAATTATCACTGCCAGACAACTGTTCCCCAACAGTGTAGTAACCCTCCAATATTATCGGAAAATGTTGGTGCATGTAATGTCTGAAATCTAATGCACATGAAATATAGAAGCACCGATGTATTGATCTAATCAAGAGGTTTATTCTATTTAAATAAACTTCTTGCATGATTTAATTTTTTCCTTTTTTTTACATTGGAGAGAAAAGGAGAAAAGAAACAAACTATGCAAAAAGTTCAGCTAAAAAGAACATTCTAAGCAGAGATAATTTACATAGTACATATAACTCCAGCAATATTGCAGCAAACACAGTAATATTACAGTAACAATGGCTGTATTCAGCAGAAAAAGCTGCTTTGAAACTATATTGTAAGATTTTTTTATATGATTGGTTTATATATTTAGATTCAGTGAGGAATTAGGGACAAGACAATCAGATTAAAAAATCTTACAACAGTTGCAAAGCTGCTTTTTCTGCTGAATGTAGCTATTGTAAATGTTGTAACAATGTTGTAAACTTCAGTACTAAATAGAAAGCAATTAAATCAAAAAATAAATTGGCTTTTGATCATCCTATGTAGTTATTGCAAAAGGTCAGTTCTTTTTAGCTAAACTTCTTTATATATTTTCTCTTTTTCTCTCCAAAATGAAAAGAAAAAAGAAGAAAGATGAATCGTGTAAGTTCAGTTAAAAAGAACAGGTTTAATGCAAATTTACACAGAAAAATCTCGGCAATCTGTCCTATATTTGTTGCCAGATACTAAATATAGGAAGTAACTGAGAGATCCTTTTTTTTTCAATTGTACTCTTTTGCCGTTCATGTTATCATTGCTAGTTTTATCTCGAACATATAAGGCACGATCTAGAGTAAGTCTAAGTAGGTTAAAATTATTCGAGAATATCGGATAATGCCATCCGGCAGTAACGTAACTCTAGGCGGAGCAATTCGGGAACGGAGGCGAGGTTCTATAGACTAAGCGGAGCAATTCACCTTGCGAAGTGTTCAGGCGACGCCAAAATCCGTACGATCCCAGCAACAGTACTCCCTCGAAGATAAGGAGAGCCTTGGCACTTTTCTTGAGTGTTTGCGCGAAGCCCGATCTCGACTGTTTCCTGATCATGCTATGGTGAAACGGGAAAGATTTCCTAAAATGGAAATCATCAATACTGCGGGATACGGAACTCGTAACGAAACATCGCGCAACACCGTGATTTAAAGGGAGGCATGAAGAGGGAGCCTCGTGAACAGAATTGGAGAAAAGTCTGAGAGAGGACGTTTTCACTCGAACTCTGAACTTATTAGATAATTAGATACACATGTTAATTAAGTATAAATATTTATCTAATTTAAACACAATGAGATTTTGTTGATGATCATCAAACTTGAATAAATTATCTTTATTATTATAATGAGAACCCAGGAGAATAATTGAAAATATTCGATATTATCGATTATGGATGTATATAATACCGCAGTGATCATCTGATGGATAACTCAAACTCGGATGATAACAATGTAATATATAATTGTAGTTTTTAATTGAAATTGAGTTCTAAATATTGGTATTATATTATAGTAAATGAGTATTATATCATAAATACACAAACTTTATAAGATTGTTAATCTTTAATTGTCGAGAAAATTCGTAATCGCGTCAGAGTTCCAAAGTTCCAATCTTTCA